AGCAAGGCTGGGGGCAGGGGGGCTTCCCCTCTCTCTGCAGCTCTGCTCCCCAGCCTGGCTCCCTGTGCCACTCCAGAAGGCCCCTGTCTGGGTCTCTGGCTTGGCTCTGTGGGGGGCTTGTGGGGGTCTGGCAGGCAGGGCTCACAGGCAGTCCCTGACAGTGCCACCAACTTCCACCCGTGCACTGCACCCTTGGGGGGACTTGATGGACCTATGATTTCCTGAGTGTCCATCTCCTGGGATGGATAATGTTCACCCCACAGGGTCCCCCTGGGCCCCTGCTATGTTGACACAAAGCCACCAACCAGCCTGGCTCAAAGCAGGGCATGGTAGCAGTCCCTGCCCACCTCACACCCCCCAGCCCGTAGAGTCATGGGCACTTCCAAGAGCCCCAAGAAATGCCAGGCATGCCCTGATGGCTGGGGGTGGGATGGTGACTGGTGGTGCACCCGCAGGGCCGTGGGTGGGCAGAGGCTGCCGACTCAGAAATTCTCCTGGGACTCAGGAGAAAGCTTCTTGGATGTCAGTGGCCCCCTCTGCCATGAAGCTGCGCCACTGACCCCCATGCCAGAAAGTGCCCCTCACCCCATTTGTCCCTTGTATCTGCTTGGGGACTTCACAGAAGGCCAGTGCAGGCTGCGGCTGTCAGGGGCTGAGCACGAGGGCTGGCTCCACAGGCTTCTCCTTGGCCTCCACTCACTCGAGCACACATGGGGCGGCCTGGCCGGGAGCCAGCACACTTCCTGTCTGCAGACCTGAAAGCTCAGGATCTGAACCGGACCTCAGTCCTTCCCCTAACGCATGCCCCACGTCCAGGGAAGAGATGCGTAGACAGGGATGGCCCTGCAGCCTTGGGGGTGCGGGGAAGACAGGAGCTGCCAAGGCCCCTGGGGGCCGGGGGGTCAAGCGGGCTGGTGGGATCTCACAGAGAGACCCATGGGAGGAAGACACAATGGGCTCGGTGCGGGCGTCCCCGAGGAAGACAAGAACAGAGATGGGCTTCAGGGTGCCCGACACACCCAGCGCCCTGCCCTGGCACCAGAGTCGGGTACTGTGGGCCGAGATCTCCGTGGGGGTGGGAGGGGCTGGGGCTGGAGGGGGTGACCCCGTTCTGGACGGAGGAGTGGAGAGCGTGAGGGGAGGTGGTGGTGGCAGATGGTGAGAACATGGATCCAAGGTCCCCGGTGACGTGGAAGTATGGAGCCCTTCACTTTCTGGTCCCCCACGCTAGCTGTGGACAGCCGGGCTGGGCCCCGCCGCCAGAGACCCTGTAATATCAACTCAACAATGCACGTTCCACAACTACGGCTACAGCTACCAGGACGGCTACTACAGTGCATGCATTTAGTTCAGTCCCACAGATACATACACTCTAAGAACAGGCAGGGGGTGGGGTGTGAAATGTTTAACTGGACAAGAGGTGTTTTGGAGTCGTAACTAATAATAAGAAGAATAAAACAAAAAAAAAAAACAACTGAAAACGAAAAAAAAAAAGAGACATTTCTTAAGAATTGGATATGAGTTTTTTTTCTGGAACTGTTTCATCTGAACAAGCAAAAACATGCAAACCAGCTGGTACTAACAGGAAGCTGGACACTGAGAGAGGATTAATAGGTGTGGACAAACCTTCCCGCTGAGCACGCTCAGAAGAGTGTTTGGGAGGAGGTGTGCAGATCCTAGTGTAAAGAGAGGCGGGGAAGTGTGCCTCAGAGACACTCTCACCGCGGCCCCAACCAAGCAAGAGAAAAGACAACAGAACGTGACTCTCGCACTCACCACACCATCAGGAGCTCACGGGACTAGACTGCAATAAAGCTGGCAAGTATAAAGTGCAGTAAGGGGTCCTGGCCAGGGCCGGAGAGGGGCGGGCCGGGGGTTGGGCGAGGGGCTCACCAGCTCTCAAATGGACACACGGACCCACCCAGAGTGTCACCCGGAAATGAAACAGCCCCCAAATCCAAACCACTTCCCTCACCTGTGAAGGGAGCCCTGTGCCCAACTGGGTTCGGTTTATTCATTTATTTTTTAAAAACTTTTCTTGGGGTGGGGGGTGGGGAACTCAGGGAGCATGATGGGGCCACTGGAACTGAATGAATACGATCAAAATAAACAAACGAACTCTCGACTGAGCACAAGGAAAGATGACGTTTCGGAGTACCAGGTGAAGGCAAAAGAAAAGTGACCACTGATAGTGAAGCTATTGAGGAGTCGGCGGGACCTCCCCTGTGGGGACCCCCCACCCCGAGCACTGTCACCTCATGGCCCAGGCGAGTTAGCAATGACGGGCTGGCTGGCCCGGAGGAGACGGCTGAGATGCAGGCAGAGCTCGGGGCCCCGGGACCCCCTACCCTGACACCAGAGCTCTGACAGATGCAAGTTGCCACCCTGAGCAAAACCACAACTGTGTCCCCACCCCCCCTGGCCCTCATCTGGGGCATCCTCTATGGAAACTACCCCTGGAACTCAGAATGGAAGTCCCCAAAGGATTAAAATGAAGGAGGAGGGGAGGGGGCTAAGCAAAACCAAATTCTGGAGCTGGACAAAAATCAGACTTAAAAAAAGAATAAAATGAAACCAAAAGCCCTTCTCCTGTGGCTGCCTCACCCTGAAAGCAAACCCAAGAGCCCAGGGGCAGGGCCACGTGCAAGGTGGGCACGTGCAGCCTGGCCTGGGCAGGTGAGGGGGACTAAGCTTGGGGTACCCTCCGGGAGCTGTGTGGCCCATTCTGGGTGGCCATGGGGACAGTGGGGCCGGGCAGGGGCAGATGAGAGGCGATCAGGGTGCGAGGCCTTGGGGAGCTCGTTGGGTGCCCACATAAAGAGAAGCCGGCATGTGTGGCATCCCCAAGCCCTGGGCCACTGTGGGGTCCATGCCGGTAGGGAGCTGCCACCCAAGGAGGAGGGAGGATGGGACATGCTTAGGGACCAAAACACACTAAAGGAAGGAAGGAAGGAAGGAAAGAGGGGGCCCTCCCAGCCCCGAGCTCTGATCCTGGGGTATCCGTGGGGAGAGCCTGCCGCCTCTTGGGGGCGGGGAACCTCGAGTTGAGGATTTACTCCTGCCACTGCCCCGGGCTGGTGTGGGGTGGGGGTGGCCAGGGGGCTCCTGAATCCGATTCACTAGCAGTGCAGGATGAGCATGGCCGGCACAGGCGGCCGGAGGGAGCGGCTGCTCCGATGGACATGGCCACAGAAGACACCACGGAGCCGGAAAACAAAGGTGTGGCTGGAGATGGTGCTGACCTGAGGGCTGAGGACGGACGGGGAGAGGGGAGGGCGGTGCCTGCCTGGCTCTGCAGGGGCGGGGCAGGGTGGGCACATGGGGGTTTGGTGGGAGGGGGGCACCAGACCTTGGGGACACCACTCTCAGATTTGCGAAGAACCCCATGCTGCCCTTTAAACTTGCCATGGAGTCGAGGAGAACGGGGGTGCGGAGAGAGGCAGGGTTAATTTCCGGTTAAAGTTTAGTTTCATAACCCAAGTCATTATCATCAGAAAGAAATTGAAGGAGAAAAACAACAACCAGCACTCCAAAATCTCAAGATTTTTCCTTTTTTTTTGTCTCCACCCCCCTCACTCCCCCACCCCAGGCACGGGGAGAACTGAGGCTCCTTTGTCCTGATTTCGAAAAGCGCAAGTTCCCAAACGGGAGGGAACTCAGGAGCCAGGAGGCTGCTGAGAAGGTGGCTGGACAGTTGGTGGGCGGGAGGGGGGGTCGGTTGGGGGCCGTCCCTGAGAGGCACTGGCCAGAGGGCAGGTGGGCCCAGCTTCCAGGCCTTCTGCCAGCCTGCCTGGCTCTCTGGCCAGTGTCCCTGGGAAACCTGAGAACTCCCTGACTTTCCAAACCACACCCCAAGGGGCGGCTGAAGGGCATGAATCCTTTGTAGCCTGAGGCAGTGCCAGTTTGCATGGAACGGATTTCCCTGCCAGGCCCGCTGAGCCCCGTCTCCTGGAAGAGGGCTGGGTGCTTGCCATCGGCCCCCTGGGCTTTAATGCCCTACTTCCTGGTACCCTCATCAGCACCTGCTCCCCCCCCCTCACCCCGCCCCCCGCCTTCCACTCAATGCCCCCTCCAGCACTCCTCTGCAAACCAAACCTAAGGTTTTAGGAGGGCAGTGGGTGCTTGGGGTGGGGAGGGTGGGGGTGACAGGCTGGCAGGAGTCCTGCTTCTCAAGAAAGGCAGCAGCGGCCAGCACCAGAGACAGAAGACTGTGTGTGTGTGTGTGTGTGGAGGGGGGGATTGGTGGGGGAGGACAGGGACGCACGAGGGAACTTGGGCCTGAACATGCCCTGGAGGGCCACGGGGAGTGTCCCTGGCTGCCCTGGGAGGCAGCCCCATCTTTTCAGAGGTTGGGTTTGGGAGCTCAGGACCAGAGCAGTCTCCAGTGACAAACCCATTTTCTCTGTCGGCCAGAGCCAGGCAGCAGCAACTGCTGAAAAGAGCCTGGAGCTCCCAAGGCTCCAGACAGCAGCAGTGTGAGAGCAGGACAGGGGATCTTGACAGGCAACTGTGGGGGTACGGCAGGAGGAATGGGGGCTGGAGGGATGGGGGCTGCAGGATGGGGGTCCATGGGGATGGGGTCTATAGGGATGGGGTTCTGCAGGGCATATGAGAGGTTGCAGGGATGGGGATCTCTAGGGAAGGGGCTGCAGGGATGGGGTGGTGTGTGTCGGGGGCAGTGGACGCGTGGGTCCAGGCCGGCAGGAGGAGGCTGGGCTCTGAGTTTCTCTCACCACCAGCAGTCCCTGGGCTGGGTCGGGGGTCCGGGGGAGAAGGCCCCAGGGCCCTGTATGTGAGGGGAGGGTCCTCTGAGTCCCACAGGCCCACACTGGCTGCCCAGCGGAGGAGCAGACGAGCCCTGGCTTTGTGGTCCTGCACCCTCCCGGCTCCCCCTCGGGCCTGGTGAGCGCGTGGACAGCGTGGCACACAGAGCCAGCAGGGCCTTCGCTGTCCCCCCCGCACACCGGGGCATGCCGGGAGCGACACCCCAGCCTCCCTACCTGATCCTCGGGCCGCCGCCACAGCTGCTGCTGCCACTGGTCCGTAGGCTGCTGCCGGGAAGCCTGGCGGGGGAGAGAGCAGCCGCAGTGAGGGGAGCTCCCCCGAAGGGTGCCGTGAGCCTGGCCCTGCTCCCGCCCTCGGCGCAGGTGACAGAGCTGGGAGGCACCTCTGAAGGCCAGCTTTTAGGGGGACACGTATGAGGGGCTCGCAGGCTCCCGGAAGGCACCACACTGGTCGCTGAGCTGGAGTCTCCCCTCTCCCGTCCCCCTGGACACGGGTTCCCAACAGCAACCCCTGGGAAAAGGCGAGAAGGCCGGGAGCCACTTCTCTTGGCTGCCGTGCCCAGCTCCGCCCTCCTCTGGTCCCCAGGGGCTGCCCCCTTGCTAGTGTCCCGCTGGGCACGACAGAGCAGAGTCGCCCTCTCGGCTCAGGGTGCCAGGTCTCCTCTGCAGGGCTGCTCCGGGCTTCTGGTTCTCAGGGACAGGGCCGGGCCTCAGGGAGAAATGTCCTGGGGGGACCCAGCAGGGGGCTGCAGGGGCCTGGAGTGGGAGCCCCCTTGGGGTGGTGCTCCCTTGGGGAGGCGGGGTGCCTGCCTCAAGCCTGTCCGCCCGCTTTCTTGTGCTGCTCCAGGCGGCAGCTGGGGCAGGAACCAGGACGAGCATCCCCACGTGCAGAAGGACCTGCGGAAGGAAGAGGGGGCCCCCTCCCCAGGTGTCATTCTGCCACCAGTAAGTGTCACCCAGACACTCCCCAACACAGGCCAGTTCCCTCTGCCGGCCCTGTCCTCCCGGCTTCCAGACCCCCTTCCAAATGCCAGCCAGTTGGGAGCCAGCGCCAGCCCCCACCAGGCTGGGCTGCACAGCTTCAGGCCCCAAGTGAGGAATCACTAGAGAATGGTAGAGGGGACGCATGCAGTGGGAGGAGAGAGGGGCGCACACCCAGAGCCAGCACTAGAGACCCAGTAAGTTCTAAGGCTAGGGCCAGCGACTCGGAACTACGGGGGAAGGAAAGGCAGAGCGACTGCAGACAGGTCAGGCTACGCTACTGAGAACGCCAATGAAAAGAGACATACTTGCATTTAAATATGGCAATAGGGCTGTCGGAGGGGGGAAAAAAGAAAGATGCAGGTGAAATAAATGTATGCCCCGGTGGTCCCTGACTGCCGGAGATGTGTGTCTGTCCCGGCTCATGTGCTGGTACCCAGGGTACCAGCCCAAGGAGGGGGTCCTCCCCTTCCAAATCCTCTCCCCACTGCTTTCAGGCGCGCGCGTGGGGAGGACGCAGGCTGGCGGACAGGGGAGGAAGGGTGAAGTCGATCTTTTACTCGAAATAGAAGGTGTGAGAAGGAAGGGGAGAGAGGGGAGCCCAGTCAGCAAATGCACATTTTAGCGGATGGCCCATTTTCTAAAGTGGGGCCAATTCAGGATGGAAAGCCCGGAAGAAAGAAGAAGCCAAATTCAGCAGGCATGCGAATCCTTCTCTGGCCGCCCAGCCGGGCACTGCACACGGGTGCCGGAAGGGCCCGAACTGAGCCACGTAAGGAAGCAGCAGGCGTGCGGCCCTCGGACAGCCTGCCCGAGACAGCAGCACCCAAGTGCCCCGCTGGCGTGCCTCCCTGGCCATCTCCAGCCTGGGTGTGTGTCCTATGTGAGCCTGCTTGGGTCTCCCGTGCCCCCCCAACCCCTGACTGTTCTCGTCTGCCTCACCACTTACCCCAGCATGTTCTTTGGGGCCCGGCCAGGCCTGGCAGGACTCAGTGTCCCGTCCACACACTGCTGCAGCAGAGCCCTGGGTGCACCTTGCTCCCCAGTGCCCCCTGGCTCAGCACAAGGTAAGGCCTTCTGCACTAGAAAGGTGGCTGGGGTCAGAGGCATGGAGGCCTCTGTCCAACCCCGGTACCACACATGGAGGCCTATCCAGAACTGGCCCCACCAGGTTCCCCCAAAGCACCGCTGGGTGTGCCCCCTTCACATACAGAGGGCAGCCCTCCTCAGCACAGCCCTGTTGGCCAGCACATACAACGTAGCCATAGTCCTCAGACGGCCCCGGCACAGTGGCCAGCATGGAATTGAGTCCATTCAGGTCCAATCCTAGGTCAGCCATTTGCTCCAGCCCCAGTGCTCAGGGTTTATTCCCTGCTCTTAGCTCAGGAGTTCAGGAGTGAGCCCTGGCAGTGCTCTGGGGCCAGGGAGGTGGGGGAGCACATATGATGCTGTGCTGGAGACTCAAACTGGGGTTGGCGTGATGCAAGACCCTGTCCGAACTCTTCAGAGGGCCTCGCTCTTCTGTGCCCACAGGGAAAGGGGATGAAGCCACTGGTACAGATGAAGAGTGGCCACACACATGGGTGAATGGGCCGATGGCACCCGCAGCCCTCGCGGTCACTCACAGGCCTTCCTGGTGTCTGTGCTGCTCAGCCCCCTCGGGTGTGGGGCCCACTTCCTCCCGGGTGATAAAGCATCCAGGGGGCCTGGGTTTCTTACGGGTCCTGGAGATGGAGCCATTTTAGTTCAGCTAACTTCCCAATGCTCAGACTCTGAATAGATGTTCTGCTTGATACCACCCCAGCCCAGTGGGCTGGTGCTGCCCCATGGCCTCCACCACCAATTTTGAAGGGGTGAGGGGGGCCGAGCAGAGGGAAATACAGTGCATGCAGGTGTGTGGTGCTGTGCATTGCCTCGACAGGAATGCAGGAGCTCCCTGTGCGCCAGGAGAGCCTTAGAGGCAGCTGGGTGGGTTCCCTGCCTGAGGCTGGGCCATGCTTCCCAGGCACTGTCAGAGTTGGTCAGCCCCAGCCTGGTTCTGCGAGCCTGGCCTCCCCGCCTCTGAACTTCTGGGGTGGGGAGTCCACTAGGCCTGCTGCTAGGTGTTGCTGTGACTCACAACCCAACTTGAACCCGCCCCCCCCAGCCCATTTCCAGCTCTCCTCAGCTCCCTGAAAGGGGACAGCAGCTCTCTGGGGGGTCTTCACCTCCAGCTGAGGAGCCTGACAATTCCTCATCCTTCCAGCCCAGGAACATGGGGCCACTGGGCTTGCCACCAACAGGAGGTCAGGGGCATGTCTCAAGGTGACCATGGTGACCATCACCTCCTGGCCTTCTGGAGCTGTGCTTGACCCGGAAGAAGCAGCACAGAACATCCTGGAGATCCCATGTTCCACTGAGAAGCCCCTGACGCCATGCCCGTTCTGACTGTTCAGGCCATCGCCACTAAAACGTGGTTATTTTCACACGCGCATGTTACTTCTCTAGCTTGGGTGACAGATTCTGGGGCAGGGTGAGTCACACACAGCCAGCTCAGGCACTGACTCAGAAGCTGCCTCAAGGAAGAATTTCCTGGGCAAGCTCAGGCTGACCCAGGGCCAAGAAGGAGCCAGGGTGGGGGTGTCTGAGGCAGTGGGGAGAACCCTGGTGGAAGACCTGGTCCTCCCCGCCCCAGGGCAGCAAACTCAAGATCCAGGGGAGGAGTCTGGGAGCAGAGATCCCGAGGTGCGGGGCCAGAAGCTTGGGCAGGGGCCCAGATGAAGGGGTGCCGGGGTGCCAAGGCTGAGCACATTTCAAACACTCACTGCACTCTGCACAGTCCCGCCTCAGCCTCTCTAGCCTGCGAGAGGAGCCAGACTCAGCAGGTAGGGGATTCTCATGAGCGCGGGGTGCTGCTCCAGCACCGCCACGGCCAGGTAGGGCTCAGTACATCTCCCAAAGGCCTTCTGGAAAGATTGTACCTGCCACAGAGGCAGGGAGTAGGGTGGGGCGGGAGTGGCGGGTGGGACACTGGGAACAATGGTGGTGGAAAATGTGCACTGGTGGAAGGATGGGTGCTCGAGCACTGTGTGACTGAAACGTAACCATGCAAGTTTGTAACTGTATCTCACAGTGACCCAATAAAACTTAAAAAATACATACATACATATGTACATACATATATATACATATATGTGTATATATACATATACACACACATTGCATATATAAAGGCCTTCTGGAGGACTCTAACAGGCCTCCAGAGGCACTGGAGATGCCCCGACTCAGAGGAAGCCTTGGGGTGTCCTGTGACTTAGTAACGGGTCCAGCTGGAGGGGCCAGTGGGCTGGCAGCTGTCCCTTTGTGTCCTCAGCCTACTGGACAGTGGTGCTGGTGTGGACAAGGGCTTGGCCCAGAGCAACTGTATGAGAAAGCATAAGCAGCTGCATACGCCCAGATTCTGTCGTTGTCACCAGAGACAGCAGCAGTGCTCCTGGGAACGGCAGGGACACACTCTTAGGGTCCAGAGGCAGGACGGGGTTAGGGGGAAGCAGCCTGGATAGCAGAAGGTTTACAGCTGCCCAGCTGGCGCCAGAGCCTGGGACGTGTCCCGACCCTGCCTGCTCTGGGGGGTGACGAGCAGATATTTCCGCCCGGGACACAGGGTTCAGCCTTCCACTTTCCTGGATCCCTCCGAGTGTGGTTTCTGCAGAGCCTGAAGGCAGAGCCCTCCCATCATGTCACGCTGAACCTGTTTTGTGCCCCCTGAACACCCCCTCCCCAGCAAACGTTTACTGAGCAGCCACTCGAGCACTGAATCAAAGCAACAACTCTGAGCTGACGGGGCCCCATGGTGGGACTGGAGGTCCAGGATGTGGCAGACGCCTGATCACTCTCTCCACAGGCCGGCAAGAGTGAGATGGCTGAGAGTTCATTCCAGAGCCACCCTCGCTGCCCAATGCCAGTGTCTGGGGTCATAGGAGGGGTCGAGGCACCCACCTGCCCATGCAACAACAAGCATCTGTCTGACCCTCTAGGCCTGGGGGATGAGGGGGTGAACCCAGGCTGCGGTTTCAAAGGACAGTCAGGAAAGCATGTTGACGGTGAGTTTTTTTTCTTTTCCTCTCAGACCAATAACAACGGGGTCTCTGCTCTTGAGACGCTCTCCCACTGACCACTAATGGGCATCAAGACAAACCACTGTCCCCTAGCGTTCATGCATGTTTGCGATGCTGGGGTTAGAACTGCAGAATCCAATGCTGGACTCCAACTGCAGAATCCCCCAGCCCTCTGGAGTTCGACACTCACATCTTTTACAG